AATAAAAAAATGACACTGCTCATTCAAATAATTGGTTAGGCCAAATAATGGAGATATTAGCGGATGACAGAAAAATATAACATACTTTTAAAGCCTTATAATTGTAGGCACTGGTACTATATTACTGCTATGAGTAAGACTCATGCACACATGAACTAAAACATGTTCTTATCCTTCTTACTTTAAAATAGGATTTGTTCTTTTTGAACATTTTTACAGAAGGTGGTTTCCAAGTAGCGCACTGTGTCAGAAAATGACTAAGATGAATACTCAGGGGAAGGAAAGGGTTAATTCATTTGTCATGCAGTTTTTCAGATCCTCACCATGGACACCCACACAACCAGTGTAACATTCTGCAATATGTACAGTACCTTGCTAAATATGTACGTTATCAGTCTAAAGAAGCAAATATAATAACACCAAAACAATGTCTGTAGCCTTAAAATGTTATCCTGCGCGCTGTTTATGGGATGGAAACAACCTTAAGCTCTGCCCTAAAGAGCCACACCTGCCACAGTCCACCTGTCCCCCCCCCACCCCCCTGCAGGGTCAACGAATTGTGGCCAAGAGCACTTCCCAACTAATACAACCACACACACATGTTGGTGCAAACATCATGCTTCCTTATAGATTTTTTGACTGCTTTTGATCATTTGCATACTCCAAACTCTAAATATGTGCAAGAATGTGTGGGTTGATTTGAGCAAGATAGATGCTACACGTTTCTTTTGTTAGGTTGATGGGTATTTTCTCCAAATCTCTCCAGTAGATTTCTTTTTAATACTCAAGCTCCCTTAATTTGTTAATTATTGTCATCCTACTCTCTATGATATGGGTTGAACTTTGAACCTTTGCAGAATAACAAACAACCTTTAGTGCACCTTTTGCAAATTTATGCACTTCTTGTATTAAAGTTCAACACCTATAGAAAGTTAAGCAGAAAAGTAATAATATTTCCAGATGGTAAATATGTCTTTTGTTAATTAAAGTTGAGTTCTGCTTATGTGCTCCAAATTCATTGTTAGGGGCTGTTTTTTAGTGTTTTTCCATTACTCATCACTATTCCCTCCCTGGTTCAATGAAAAAACATGAGTAGCTTCCTGTAACTCATGTGCTCTCTTGTTATATCAAGTGCAGCTCAACCTGCCCGGCCTGTTCCTCCAGCTCAGCATCATTAGTCAAAACCATATTGTTATCAAAGTCACAATTACACAGGCTCTGTAATATTGTTTCTCCTGTAAACACACGTTTGAGGTGTAGAGTAGTCCATGCGTGACCGTGTTTATTTTGTCTAGAGTTGGGGGGAGTTGGGCATGTGTAATGTTTGTTTGTGGTTTGCATGGCAGGGTTTTATGGTGGGATTCCTTTGCGGGTTATAAACCTCTAATAAACATTGGATAGCTTAAAATCTACCTTTTTTCAGGTCATGCAATAAATTCTGTTTTGGGTTTCAGCAAAGGATTGTTTGAACTATGTTAAAGAACATGCAAAACGGCAGCAAATGTTTTGCGTACTGTTAGAAATGAATCGATCTTTAAAGCTGTTAGAAAGTTTTTTTCTAGGCCACTAATAAACAGGAGAGCAATTATACAAGTAACAAAAGGAACCTTTCATAGTATAGATAACTCAAAACTGCATGAAGAAAACAGTTCAGTACAATCCATTAATAGAGGCTGCATCGTAACTATGAAAAGGCCCTTTGTTTCTGCGGGACTTAGATAATGATGATTATTAATACTTGTTAAATAAGAAGGTAACAAAGTCGTCTTATCTCTTTGCAGGCTACATAACAGACTAAGGCTATCAGTAATGAGAATAAAGTTGCTCAGGTAACAAAAAACACTGAACAGTTAAGATAAGATAAAACTCTTTTTCATAACCATAGGAAAAATATTTAATAAGAATAAAAATACTACATTATATATATATATATATATATATATATATATATATATATATATATATATATATATATATATATATATATATATATATATATATATATATATATATATATATATATATATATATATATATATATAGCTCTTTCTTCCTGTACTGTGTCAGTTCAAGCCTGAAGAAGCTGCTTATAGCCACTACCAGAGGCAGAAATCTAGCACTAAAGTAAAATGCTTTGGTGACATGGATTAACTTCTGAAATTACTAATCAAAAGTCATGGATGATTAAAGAATTGTGACATTTAAGGAACAGTGGAGGATGTTTTTTGGTTTTTTTCTGGTTGGATTGTCAAAATAAATGGTTCTCTAACTGTCAATCATTCTGGTGATATGTTTACATAAAGCCGCCCTACGAGCTCGTCCCCATTTTCACTTACCGCTGATGAGTCTGACCTGTAAGCTTGTATGAGCGATGCAAACAGCAACTTTTCTGAAGCGGGTACAGTGTTGTGCATGTGCATTTGGATTTTTGTTTTTAAGTAGAGAGGGCGTGTCTTATCAAAAATTCACAAAAATACTCCACTAAACCTTTAAGTTGGTTGAATTTTTTTAAACCTGAAACTTTTTTTATTCTGCAAAGCTGTGCTCAGGTTACACCTTCATGATGAAGCTGTCATTTCTTCTCATTTCATGTGTCACAGTTATAGATATATTCAGTTTTTTCATCTTAACATTTTATGTTTAAAAAAAGCCCTCAAACTCTGTCTACAGCTTTTCTGCTTTCATTTAGTTATTAAAGATAACTTAAAAAGGCCTTATTCTTTCTCCCCTTTCTATAGCCTATCGATGATACTTTTCTTTTAAATTTTCTTTAAAGAAATGTCCAAAATGTTCAACTGTTGCCTAAAACTGAAATGTAGCATAGCGGAAAAGCAGTAAACTATTTAGTGATTTATTTACACATGCCTCAGCTTGTATATGTGGTGACTGTCTTATGTAAGCTGCTTGTGTACAACCTGAGAAACTAATGTTAAACACATGGATATGACTCAACCCTATGTTATATGACTAGGTAAAGGAGGAGGTCAATGAGACTCTAAAGATGCATTTACCATTTGATACTTGATCCTGAAGTTTCAATGTGATAAGTACTTTTTGTCAACATTACATGAGATGTCAGCATTTTCTCTAAGATTTGCATGAAGCCTGCTAAAAAATAATTTTGTAAACATAAAATAAAATGGCATATGACACAGAGGATAATTTTGTTCTAATATTATACTCATTGTACATAAAAAAAGAAAAGCTACTGGGAATGGCCGCTAATACGTTTGGATTAATACAGCTACAACTTCATTGTTTGTTGCAATCTGCAGCTTTCCCAATAGTTTCCACCGAGTCTTAATAAACAAGTCATCCAATAGATATTCTAGCATTATCCACGAATACAAAATAGACTTAGACAGATTTATTTTGTCAAGTGTAAACAAAAAGAAATTTCGTTAAGAACAGCTCTCTTGACAATTTCATTTTTGAAAGTGCAGCCTTGATAAGGTAAGCAGCAGTGATAAAAAAAAAAAAACATTGTGATGAAAAACAATAATGTAAACATATGACTGTATATTTATAGTTCTAATATTCAGTTAATAAAGCTTCTTTCAATAAGCTCTCTAAAATCAACAAAAATCATTCAAAATAGCATCACAATAAATGCTTTAGGGCTGTGGAATGGATTCAAATCCCAGTTTGTTCTCTGTAAAACATGCATACTAAAAGTTTTTTAGTATGCATCTGTGTTTTAGTATATCCAAATTGTTGAAGAGTGGGGACTTGTCCATGATGCATCATACCATTCACCCACTGACTGCTGGAAATTGGCACTCAGCTCAGTTGAAAAGTATAAGAAAAATGACACATGGCTTTGAAATGCTTTTGTACACCGCAATAATAAAAAAGGTGTGGCGTGCATTCTTTTCAGTCCCTTTTACTTTAATATCCCTGAAAGAGTGTAACACAAATGAGTGCCTGAAAAAGTCTTCTGATTTTGTGTTTCTTAACCCTTGTCCTTCAAGGTCAACAGTCCCTCTTGTTTTTGATATGCCTCTGGTTCAACACACCTGATGCAAATGATTGTCTTTGCTTCTCAGGAAGCCTTTTAATCACATTGGGTGAAGCCAGGTGAGTGTGAGCTGAGGAACACCTTAAACATGCAAGACAAGGATCGCATTATTAAATAGAGCCAACATGTGTGATTTAGTCTCCTGTCAGGGATTTTTGTGGACAAGAAGCATCATGAAGACAAAAACACAACAGCAGAGCAGGCAGGGGGGAACGTTTTTAAGAACTTTAGGCTACGTTCTCTAAGCATGAAGTCAGCTCAGGAAATGTGTGCCACCAAATGAACGTAGTCAGTATGCACCAAAACAAACCGTGGAGGTATTTGAGCGTGCACACAACACTGTACAATGCCACACTTGTGGCGTAGGCATGTTTATCTAGAGGAAGGCCCATGACGCAAGCATCTCTGATAAAGTTGTGGAGAGCCAGTAACCACAGTACCATGAAAAGAGGAGTTTTGAAATATTTTCAAAGTGGTTTTGCATTTATGCCTGAGCACATCTTAGTGTGGATGGGGCCTTAAAGTAGTTTTGGCTATAATTAAACATCTCAAGATTTGAACAGCTCACAGAGCACTGTGTAGTCCATCATCTGATAATGGAAAGTGTATACAACAACTGTTAACCTATGAGAATTTGGCCATCTATTTAAACAGATAGGCTGGCTGAAGAGAGAACATTAGTCGGAGCGGCAGTCGAGAGGCTCGTGATACATTTGATAGAGATGCAAAGATCCACGAATCAGGTGTGAGAATCTGGCGACCAGAAAACTATTATTCATGCACTCCACAACTCCACAACTTTTACGGGAGGCTGATAAGAAAATAGGCCTATGTAAAATTGTGCTGGAAGCAATGTAGGAGGCACATCAAGCATGTGGAAGACCTTTCAGCAAAAATGCAAAATGCTATGTGAGACAGAAAAGTAAAACAGACCTAAATCTAATGAAGAATCTGCGGTAAGACTTGTTTCCAGATGTTTTTGGTTGTTGTTGATTTTTTCCAAAAGCAGCAAAGCTTGGGGAAAACATGTTGGTCTCTGTGAAAAAAAAAAAAAATCTAAATTATGGAGAGCAAGTGGTTCAGTAAGAAAGGGTGCAAAATAAACAGATTGAAAGATACATGCTGTAGCTTCAGTCACAGTAATGATAACGGTTTAGAGTAAAATCTCTATGAGATTGAAATACTGCATGGATGACAGCCAGCAGTCAATATTTAACAGAAAAAAACCAGTAAGAAAAACTGTTTAGGAATCTCCCCTTATACCAATTCCATTCTGCTACATTTAATTACACCATCAACCACATGTGAACACTGTATAAAGGATGCGTGAGTAAAAATAGATTAACGTCCAACTATTTATAAGCTCTTATCTTGTTGTATAGGACTTTGGGATACCAGGGACAGGGGAATTCTAAGGAACCTTGTTCTCCAAATATCCACTCCTACTTTCCCATGCATCTCATTTGACTGGCAAATCCAATGCAAATCTACTGTGCCTGAGAGGTGGACCCACGGAAAGCTGTGTGTGTTTTAGGAGTAAAGGAAAAGAGGAGGCGATGCTGTCATGCTCCATCTTGCTTAAATCCCTCATTGTACCAGGGCTGACATGAGTTTTTTTTTTTTTTGTGAGAAATCACTCAAGAGATATGTGTGATATTTTGCATACAAGATTGGATAACACAATGTGTGAAAGTGTGCGAGCGTTCACATTGCATCACAAAAGCATGAGTGAAATATGCATCTTCCTCTTTCTAGTTGCAAAACAACCCTCCTAGTCGTTGCCTCTTCTTCCGTGTGTGTGTTTGTCTCTGGGTTGTTCATCTCCCTTCATTCATATGCAGCCTGTAGTAGTAAGCCGTACGGGTAGTGAAAACTGTGGGGAAGTTGTCACAACGAGAGGAAGTGTGTAGTAAAAATATGACAAGATATGCCGAGTATTGTTCACCTCATTGCAGGAGGGTTTCCTCTTTTTTTTTTCTTCTTCGGTGAATGCGCTGTGGGTGAATCAGCGTGCACTTCTTTAGGGGACCGATGCATGTTGCACACACCGGGATACACCAGCCTTTCTGCACATAAATGATACACAGAAACATAAGTCGATATTTGCTTTTGCTGTTGTTCCTCCTGAATCACACTTCCTCAACAGAAGTTCTCTGGGATGTTGTTAAAGCATACAATAAAGAATGAAACTGCTTCCCAATGAAAGTAAAGAGTCCATTTATTATGTTTTTTACTTCCTGAAGTCCTTTCATGACCTTTGCCAATCTTCCTCACTTAAACAGATGATAACATACTACACCATGGATGCTATGACAAATATTTTAGAAATGAACAAATTGACAGCTTATACAAATTACTTCGTATTACTTGCAAAGAAGAGGTTAGATCACAACTTACATCATTTGTTTTAGTCCTTAACTGCGCATGTATTCAAACACAACTACAAGCACTGGTGATCCACAGGTATTTCACTAATATCAAACTGTAATATAACTTACTTCCTGCTGTCTTCTCTTATCCACTGTGTCTGCATTGGTTCGGAGAGTAAGTGGAATCCTAGGAGTATATCAGTCCATACAACCGATGAAGGACGTTCTGTCGCGTGAGTTCCCTGCAGTCTGGTGTCCTCACTCTCTTTCTTCAAATGTCCAGAAGTTTCAACACCAAACCTCTTCACTCGCTTGTAAGTGCAGCTCACTGTTCCAAACCCGTGATGGTTTGTGAACGGCTTTATTTAGAAAGTAGGATAGGGATGTAAAGTGTTTCTACCTCTTTGAAGACATGTTTCCCTCTGTAAAGCTGAGATTCTAGAAGAACTCAACATGGGTTACGTCTGCTGTTGGTTAGTTTTTCAGTTCTCAGCTGTTAATTTTACAAGGAAAAGAATTTAAGGAGGTAAATATGAATACAATAATGTAATTCATGTTGGATTTCTCTATGGTAAAATGTTCACACAAATAACATATGAGAGAGAGCGTTAGAACAAGCATGTGTGCAGGTGTCTGATAAGGATTCTTCCTGATTTTCAAGCTTGTTTCATTTTCACTTTCTTGGAAATAGTGTTCACATACATAATGCTGGGAAGTCATTATAAGTATATATTACAATAATTATGAAGAACACGTTTAATACATTGTTAATAACTTTCAGACTTTGTCATTAGAGATTAAATTATCCTTTGCAATGATCAAAAAGTTAATCCAGGAGAATATTTAAAGCAAGGAAGATAAAAATCTAGTTTTTGATCATCAGATTTTTGCCAGTTGGTTTGCTAAATTTTCCTGTTCCACATGATAAATTGACTTTTTATGCATATTTATCAGCTTGTATTGCTAAATCAGATCAATGTTTAAACCATTTTGCAGTATTTACCCAAAAACACTATGTATACTAATATAGTTTTTATTTAAAAAAGTGTAGACAAACAGAGAAGTACTTTTTATAATTCAGAGCACCTATAATATTCATTAAACATTTTCTAAGCACCTTTTCTAAGAAGAATGCATGAAAACATATTTTAATTTAACAGTGCTAAAAAGGCAACAATCTTTTAATTGTGGATTACATTTAATACATTAGCATGTAAGATGAACTACCTCACTGACAATTTTCTCTCAAGTGGCTAAAAGCATATAAATATTTTAGAAAATCACACAGAATTTACTGTCAGATTACCTGATTAGGATAATAAAAAACTAAATTTATTTCAAAATATACTCTCCTCTTAGTTAAATAACAATTCCAATGGGATTACAAATATAATTTTATTCAATACCACTCTCCTTAGGCCAGACAACACCCAGACCTGTAGAATCAAAACAAGTGCTTACTTAGAACCTGTTAAACAACATGAAGGTGGCTCGGAGCTCAGATTATAACACACTTTATGCCATAGATAAAGAAAACCTAAAAGCAAAAACCTCTATCAATGGGGTTAAACATTTCTATGACTTTAAGACACCATAAACCAAAGCTAGAGCATACCCTACCAATCAACCGGAACTGAACGGAGCAAGAAACTGCGATTATCATGTTAAATGTTGGTCAATCATTCTGTGGAAATGACTCAAAACATTGCATCAGCAAGTGACCTAGGAAGTGTAGTGTACAGAACAACATTTATGCAGTGGTGGCAAAGGGGTCAGGAGGGCCTCATCGTCAACATGGCTGCCCTTGGTTTGAGTCTGTGGATATCTACCGCATTACTTCCCACTTCTCACTCAATTACATCTCCTGACAGAATACTCATAAACAGGATACTAGTGCTAAAAATATAGAAACATAAAAACATCTAAAGCTCTAAAGTCCTTTCTTTGTTGTTGAGCTCAATGTTTGTGATTGAACAACAGTTGAAGAAAGGTATATAATTTATATAAGGATAAAGTTATATAAGACAAGATACTGATAAATTAGCAGAATTTGCAAGAAAACTATATCTTTTACTTTGGAACAACATTGTTTTGCACTTATGAAAGCTGTGTGCTTGGTTACATTTGGTCCAGACATAAAGACAGAAGGAACCTAAAACCGAGAGTCAAACATGTTTTTGATGGTGTGGCGCTGTCCTCTTCAGGACCTCAATAACCTTCTGTAACCGATGGAAACATAAGTTCTGATCTCTATGATACAATGTTAAAGGATAATGTGTTTCCATCTGTTTGGATCTCTTTGCTCAATTCAGATTCTATGGCTTTGCACTCTTGAATCCCCCACCCCCATTATTATTAGTCTGTATTGAAACTGTTCTGCACTGATGGTTTGGCAAACAACAAAAAAAAAACATTTTTCTTCCACCTTTAGAAACATATTAGAGTTAAAAAACATCCATATTTATGTTGGAGCGGAGAATTAGTTCCTTTCCGCCATCAACAACACCCCCACTTCTTAAGAAGGATGCTCCTTATTGGAAATCATGTGACTTCTTGAAAAGTCTTTGACCCGACCTGAATGGGGAGTTTTACAAGTGAGGGCTGTTATTGGATATATTCAGCAGGTGTGGGGTGAGTCTCTCCATCTTGAATGTCGGCGCTTTTCTTTAAGCACTGCTCAAATAAAATACAGGATAATTACAATTTTTTGTATTTTTGTTGCATTAATCAGTAAAAACAAATTGTGCAAGCAGTTGAAACTTAATATTCCTTATTGTGAGGTAAAAAATAGGAGAAAATATAAGATATTTTTCAAGAGTTGACAAACAGTGCAAAGGAAAGGAAAAAAAAAGAAATAGTCTTAGTGTTGTGTGCACAACCAAAACCAGATCCGGCTAAACGAGAACAGGCGAGAGTTTCCCAACTCCGCTGCGAGTCCTGACACGATGCCGGTCGTGACGGGAGCCCTGGATAGGATCATGGAGCAGGGAGTGAGACTGGACCCAGAAAAACGGGATTCCTGTCTTATTGCTTGCTCACGGAGCAGCATACCTCTCCCAGACTTTCCCACGAGAAAAACCCCAGGCGTTTTTCGGTCCAAGTAGAAAACTGGAAAAAATAAATACCTTAGCACAGTGATAGATTTGTAGATAGATACTATATGGAGCCACAGAGAGAAAACACGATTCTGTGTTTTTTAGTTGGAGCAGGATAGACGGGCAGACACCCTCACGGATTAAGTGTGAAATTTATAAGAATACCACTAGATAGGCATCAGCTGCCCACCTCTGGAACACAAGGTTTTCATAACTGTCTGCTGAGCCATGTTGACACCCAATGGTTTTCCTATGATGGAAATGAAAGTGACTTCAATGGAAACATTTCTGGTTCATTTCATGTATTCGTTTTTACCCCTCTCCACTTGTTTACAGATACATATGTACATTGTAAAAGAGGGGGGCGTGGTGCTTATTTACAGCTTATTACCTGGAAATAAGCTCTGATGCTGCTCCCTTCCTTCTTGTCTATTCTTCCTTTATTTGCTTGTATTCATCCATTGCCTTGTGTCGAAATCATTTTGCTACACTTGTCCAACCTGTTCTTGTACCTGCATCAGCTGGAGGTGAAGGTATTGCTTTCCATTCACCATCTCGTCCTGCTCTTTTAAGGAACCCATGGAGAACAAAGAGGAAGGCGTAGGTGCTGCCATCCAGTCTTTAATCTCTGTGAACCATTTCTGGCAGGTAGGTAAAAACACAAAAGCAAAGGCGATGATGACCACCACCTGCTCATGTTAGATGCCCCTAGCAAGGTCCCAAACTGTGCCTGACCCTAACCTTTAACCTGCCTGTAGGAGGACCAAAACACTGTTTTTAGATATCATACTGCATAAGAGGCTTAATCACATTAAAGGCCTATCTGCTCAATGTTAAAAGATTTAGAGCTAGTTTGTTAGTTTACTGTGGTCATTCTCTAATTCTGAAAACAAGCAGATAAAATGAAAATTCTCCGCAAGGTGGAGAAGCACTACCTTAAAGATATGGTGAAGAGCTCAGTCATGGCGGAGTGGTTTGGAGTAAAGTCATTTCTTCACTTCGAGAGGAGTCAGCTGCAGCATTTGGATGTCCCCTAGGCAAAACCCTCGGAAGGTGTTCCATGCACGCCTCACCAAGAGGGATTATGTCTCTCGGAGGGACCCGGGAACCGGCAGAGCTGGAGGAGTTGTCACCGGAGAGTGAACTCTGGGAGTACTGATACTGCTGCCCTCATGACCCAGTCCCTAATGAACAGAATACTTCTCAGTATTATAAAGATGATATATATTAAACTGTTCCCTACTTTAGTAAACAAAAGTCAAGTTTCTAAACAGTAATACAAACTGATTGTTAAAAATAAAGGTTTATAGATCAATTTATAGAAGTACATGATGCAAAAAGCCATGCTTTTTGCCAACTTGTCAAAAAACTGCAGTACCAATACTTCCATATTTCCACCCCTGATGCAAATTATACTTAAATAGTAAATGGACTGAAGATACATATACTCCACTTCTAATCACACTAAAAACCAACCTTAAACAGAGGGGGTGGACTTAGGTTTCAGCTTTCAAAAACCTTCAATGCAGCAATTGAGTTAATCCTTTTCTGCTATAACCCCGGCACCTGTACAATAGAGCGTAGGACCTATTGAGCCAGGCCAACAATTCCCTTTAACAACCCCCTTTCAGACACTTAGACCATTCTAAAGCAGTGCACCATTTCGTCCTTTTCTATTTGTAATGCTTTCAAAACAAAAACAAGGTTTTAATGGGCTACTGTATAAAACCTCAAACTTAACCTTATTCCTGACATTTTGAACAGAAAAAGTTACTGGATGGGAAGCGAAACGTCTTCAAACTTGGAAACAAAGTGCAGTGGATTATTTTTAATTCTCTTTTTTTTTTTTTGGAAGGATCCACTTCTAATCATACCAACCGTTCAAAAACCACATCAGTTTACTGCAGCCATGTTAAAGCAATCCCACTCACAAATGAACACATTCATTCACAGCACTATCAGTACGCAACTTGGAGACGTGTGACAGGTGGAAGCAGGAATTGAACCCACAACATTCAGATTGCAAGTGATTACTCGCCCAGGGCTTAAAGAAGGAATGTGCTGCCTAATCCACCTACAGTAGATGGTTTCAAAGACATTTTAAGCACAATAGAGAAACTTAATGGATGGTATTCTGTTTTGACCCCTGTTCATTTTTTTGTATATTGTTTTCATTAATGGTTATAGAAATGCAACTGTAATGAATTAAACATTAAAGAAATTATTTGTTACACAAATACTTTGTTTTGGCCTGACTCCTTGTTTTTTATTTCCTATGCCAGCTTGGATAGGTCAGCACAAAATTTAATTCTGTGGATTTTT